ACGAATCTTGCGACAAATAAGATCGGATGGAATGCGAGCCATCACCATGAAGGCGATAAGATTGTGCATCACTCCAGCCAACAAGTCATCCTCATTCAACTCCAAATGCTTTTGACCGATTGGAGTGAGGTGAGCGTAGTGCTCCAACAAGCCTTCCGGATCGAAGTCCATTCCTTAAAGGAGGAGACGCAAATAGAACTCATTCCACCTACAGTAGCGACAACAACATTTCTACGGCTTCACTCTGTCACCTCCCAACAAGGAGGCAACAATGGGGAGGGGTAGTGATGCCACAGACACATACTAGTGGACAAACAAGCAAACAACAACAACAAACAACACCATAAACAAGAGAGCGGACCTAGCAGACCTCGCTCCTGTACTACGGTGTCGAGGAATAAGTCCTCCCAGAATTGCATATTAGTCCACAGCTTGGAATCCGTAGCATTGATCATGGCCTCCTCAAAAAGGTATGTACGTTGAACTTTTGATTGCATCACCTCTTCATCCTCCTGCAGCTTCACTTGTGTCACTTCCTCCCCTTTCTTTGTTGTCGCCTTCGTGTTGTCTGCCGCCTTATTGCTTTCAGGAATAGAGGAAGAAGTGGCAGTGCTATTGCTCTTTTGATCAGCTAGACCAAACCGAAGGGCTGGAACCGAGATGCATGGAGGTGGTGTCTTCACACTCGGCGATACTTGAGTGGTTGTTTGAAAGAGACGACCATGTCGATATCTACAGTTCAAAAATTGTATCCTCACCTTTTATCACCTTTCACTCTTCGAAGGGACAATAGCCTGTTTCACTAGTCGTGTCCACCTCCCCTTACAACTTCACACTTGTTTGTTCAGTCAATTGAGGTGGGTTTCCATTCATGCAAATCTTTACCCATTGAAAGGTGCTAGGATGACGGAGAGGAGGAGGAGGAGGAGGAGGAGGAGAAGGTGGGATTTCCAAGTTCGCAACCTTATCCTTCTTATGTTACTCGAATGGACAAGAGGAAGTGCTTGTATGTGTTGCTTCAAATGATCTTCACTGAAGACACGTATAAACAAAAAAAAACTTTTTCTTTTTTTTGTAGAGAGAAAAATCTCACTTCAAATGGTGTGACACTTTCTGACATTCAATCTGTTCCACTTTTATACCGGATGTTAATCAGTGGACATAAAGAATAACAATGTGTCATACCTATAACCAAGGGAGACTGAGCTCTTGAAAGACGGCAAGGTGACCACATCTTCAACCACATTCATTGAAATAGCACTGGAAGCAGTTAATTCAAACTCCACCTCCTTCGCCTCCTCCTCCTCCGAATCTCGTCCAAATGTTCGCCTCTGTTTGATAGGTGAGAGTGGTTGTGAAGGTGTGGATCTCTCCGTGTTAATGACATTGAAAAGTTTCCGTTTCTCGTCTCTCTCTTTCTTTTTTGCCTCAGAGATGGCTGAAAAGGGGGAAAATAAAGGCACGACGTTGCATAGACCCTGAATAATGTAGCCAGACACTGCGTAGGATTGGTTCACCATTCAGCCAAACTTTACTGAAAATCAAAATCCTGACACTAGCATTCCCTCACTAAACACAAGACCTGTGGCAAAATTAAGCAGTTATTATTTGTTCTGGAACTGTGACACGACCACGACGTCGACGACAACGTGGTCAACTGGACATCACAGATGTGTCCTGACGATGAACAATCGTTGCCTCCAGCGTGGGTGTATGCGGATGAGGTCGTGAGAGGAGGGCATAAAGTGAGGACAGATTGCTGTCAATCGATTGGTAAGAATAACATTTAAAACCACCCAACGGGATTGGTTCAATGTGCGCCGCATTGGGCAGTATCGCCTCCTCTCCCTGTCACGGTCGCGTTGTGCTGTAGCCTCGAATGGCATGAGGCAAGGCAATGACGACTGACCTCAGGCCCGGTTGCTATTTTCAGTCTGCAGGGTGGGAACAAATGAGCCTGAAGTCCATTCCTCACACACACACACACACACACACACACACACACACACA